AGTTGGGGTTTAAGGCTTTATAGGTACGGTATAGGGTTAGGGGTTTGGGGTTTAGGGTTTAGGGTTTATAGGTATGGTATAGGGTTAAGGGTACTGATTTACTGAGTTGGGGTTTAGGGTTTAGGGTTTATAGGTATGGTATAGGGTTAAGGGTACTGAATTACTGAGTTGGGGTTTAGGTTTTAGGGTTTATAGGTGCGATGTTATAGGGTTAAGGGTTTAGGGTTTAGGGGTTTAGAGATTAGGGTTTAGGGTTTAGGGATTAAGGGTTTATAGGTACGGTATAGGGTTATTAAGGGTTTAGGGTTTAGGGATTTGAGACCGAGGGTGCCGGTGTTTATCCCGATCATCCGCACTGATCGAAGTTGCCCGCTGATCCCTCAAGGTTCAAGTGCCAAGAACTGGGGTGCTTGAGTGTAGGGAAGCAGTAACTAGGTTAGTGTCACCGTGTGCATTTTAAATTCTTCTTGTCGTGGTAGTAGGCGTTTGGACCCTTAGCTGATGCGGCTTTGCCTAAACCCTAAACCCTAAACGTTACTTGGGATGTAGGGCTTGAGTTGCACTTTAGCCGCGCATCTGCTCAGCAGGGCTCCTCATGTCCGCTGCCGCAAACCCTAAAATTCAGTCAGTCAGAAGCCACCTGAAGCTAAAAGCCCTTTACGCTATAGACCCTAAATCCATAAAGCGAAAAGGTTCAGCTGCATGAAAGCTCCCGAACAGTCAAAAGGCCGCACGTTCAGCCGATCGAGTGTTTTTGCAACTGTAAGCCCTAACTATCCCATCACTATCAGCATCATTATCATAATCTGGATTAATACGTAATTATGAGTGTGATTCCTTTTCTTATGTAGCGGTATATAATATGATTCTGATTCCTTTTACATATGTGGCGGTATATAATCTACACCAAACCACAGTCTGATCAACAAGGCTCGCTCCTATAGTATACCCGACAAATCCGTAGAACACCCTATATAACCTTGCAAGAACCCAACTCTAATTCGGAAGGAAACCTCAAACCCCCCAAACCTAAAACCCTAAACCCCAAAAAAACAAAATCCCTAATCCCTTTAACCCCAAACCTTAATCTCAAGCCCAGCCCCGAACCTTGCAAAATCCAGGCCTCGTTCACCCGGAGGGCCTTGTCAATCTCATCGTGCAGGCAAGGATGCACCGAAAAAGGCTTTGGGGGCCTTGAGATGTTTGTATGATTTTTTGGGGGGTTTAGGGTTCGGTGATTTTAGGGTCTTTGCTGTTTTGGGGGTGGTGCGGTTTAGGGTGTTTGATTTTTGGGGGCTTCCGAGTTGGTGTTTTGGGTGCCGGTTTTTCTGACACCTCTAAGAGCAGACCCTGAACTGAACAGTAGGAGTCCGTGGGGTACAAAAAGCTATCGGAAGCAGCGGTTTATCGGTGATTCTGATGCCCTTGGCCACAACCATTCTCGACTATCCTGCTGTAGTGAGTGCGTGTGTATGTGTGTGTTACCTCAACCCTGAACCCTAAACCCTNNCCTAAACCCTAAACCCTATAGCCTCCACTCTTCTTCCCAAGCCCCTCGACTTCTTTGATGGGCAGACTTCTTACTTGAACCCCGATACCGTGAGCTCTTAAGCCCCCGAAGGAGGGGGAGCCTCGAAGTTTTGGGGGCCCTATTCGGTTTAGGGTTCAGGGTTTAGG